TCAGCTCTGATGATTCAGTAAGGACATCTCCTGGTTTCATCTTCATGTTTCCCTCTCACCACATATCCAAACCGATATCATGACCAGCAGCTTTATGGCTGTGGCTCCAGCAAACATCAGCTGATAATAAAAAGTAATATTAAATAAATTCTAACAACAGCTGATCAAGCTTAAACGTGCTGCTGTTCTTTAGCGCGACATCCACTTGTTTCCTCTTTCTGGCGCAAAGTGGGCGATAAACAAGAGAGACGGGAATGGTGTCAGAAAAGCCAATCAGCTGATCATTAACCTTTAATTAATTGACTGAGCTTTAACTCTTTAATGAGCACAGAATGCAATGTGTATAAAATGGTCTTAGCTGTACCTGTAATAAAAAGGTTAATGTAAAGCCAGCAGGTTTTAATAAACATCTTAATGCAGTATCAATACTATAGATTATATCCTCAATGATGCAGGATATATTGTAGCCATAAAATCATTTATTTAATTCCACATCAGTTTCATGATTGAAGTAGCAACAGGAGAGGGAGGGGGAGAGAATGAGAGAAGAAGAAATAGCTGTGCTTTTTGGGGAGCAGAATACCTCCAGCTTTGTGTCTTTTTCATTCTAGCTGAAGTACGGGACAAACCTTGTTTTTTTCAGCTCAATACGAAATGCTTAATATTTTCTCTGCATGCGGGACGATTCCGTTTTTTACGGAATGGCAACTCTACTAACTAACCTTATGAATTAAATAAAGTTCACTATCAGTAACATCAAAGCACCCACCCAGCTGTATAGAAACTCCATCATGCTAGCTAGTACGCAGTACGAGTTATTGTAACTGACAATAACTTGTACAACAAAAATAAACTACACCTAAACTTGGTTTATATCTGACCCAGATAGACAGCAGGTCATCTGCCTCCCCTCCTTTCCCTCACCCACCTGCTGGCCTCAGTGGAAGCTCCACCATAGCCACCACCAAACAACTGTGTTATTTTTACATATCTGCCAGCATCTGGTCAATCCACCACCTTTCATTGTTTATACCGTTACAAAAGACAAAAAAAAACCAAACCCATGGGCTCATGAAAACGAGAAATCACCATCGGCCCACCGAGCAAATGCCCGGTGTGCCCGATGGCCAGTCCAGCTATGGCCTGACTTTATTAGTTATTCACATTACTTCTTATTTACAGACAGTATATTCTGTGTGCTTTCTAATTTAAGGTGATTTCTACTTGGTCCAGTGTAATCCTGTTGTTCAGATTACTATCAACCTAGCTGTTTGCTTAATATTGATTGTTACAACAGTATTACGAATATGGAAATGCGGACAAAAAAAACCCAGTAAGTTCTAACTTATAACTTATATTCTAACTTATATTTTTCTGACAAATGCAGATAATCATTAAATTCATGGATGCATTAGTTTGGAACTTTAAACACGTACTGATTACTAAATTTATCCCTACCTTTGGAACCAACATAATCTATATTTTTTTAGTGTTCTAGTTTAAAATGTTTCTAAAAAACATAATATATATATCTACCTGATATTTATTAGGTTTCATTAACACTGTTTCAGTGCAAATTATTTAACTTTTTTGTGATGTTGATTATGATTTCATTTCCCCCTGAAAATGTAAAATTTGGGGGGGGGATGTTTACTGTAGCAAGCAAGTATGCTTTTTAGCTCTCAGTGAGATTACTTTTTAACATTTTTTTTTTCATTTTTATTCACACAGAAATCAGGATACATGATGAGGATGAAAATGAACTACATCAAACAGAGATGGAGGAAAAATTACAGAGAGAATGTGAGGAAAAGAAAAGACTTGAAGAGGAGTTGGAGAACAAGGAGGAAGACCTAAAACATGTCAGACAAACCATTGAAAAACTGATGGAGCAGAAGACATTTCTGAAGAACCAGAGAGAAAAACTCCACAAACTACTGCAGGAGGACAAGGCAAGGTTGAAAGAGGTCATGAAAAAAGAGAAAGAAACCCCATTACTTGACAAAGAGAAAAAAAAGAGTCATCTTGAAGATAAAAAATCTGACCTGGAAAAGAGAACAGAAGTACATGAAGAACTGTTAAAGATGACAGAAAAGCTAATGGAGGAAACAGAGAACATTATAATCCAAATGACAAAAAGAAAGGGGAAGCTAGAAAAAGACAAGGAACAAATTATTAAACACTTGAGAGAGAAATAAAGAAATGAAAGGGATTTAGAAGAAACTGTCAGAGAAACAAGCGAGAAACAATGAACAGGTGTGTAAGTTTTTCTTGTATATATTTCTTGCTAAAGTCACATGTACAAACTGTTGTGTTGTGTTTAATTTACGTTCCCAGTGTCTTTAATGTCTCTCCTTTTTTTTTAATCAGCGAAGGACAGAGTTACACAACAAATAAAACATGGGTTATTTTGTCAGTGCTGTCATTTTTCAATGTGATGCCTGATATTTCTATATTTTTTTTGCTTTAAATTTATACTATATACAGGTTAACAAGACATGCATTTTGAGTGAATTTTATCATAGAAGATTTTATTTTGTTTCTTTAGAACAAAATAGAAGAGATTTAGAAGAAACTTGCTTGATGAACATCTGTCTAAGAAGTCAGATGTTTATTTTACTTGAATTTTTTTTCTCTCTTTGTGTTTAATGAATATGCTAAAATACAGAGGGAGAATCACCAATTAACTTAATATGCACACAGAAACAAGGAAAACTTTCAAATGTCACCCAGAAAGATTCCAGTTGAACATGTTAATTCTATAAAAGCCAAGACAATAAAACATGCAGTATGTTGAACTGTAAAGTGTAAAGCTGTATTTATAAAAACAAACTATAACTTCTAAACAATAGTGTTTTATTAAGGTGTACACGGCAAGTCCAAGAAGAAGAGGAAACAATTTACTATGTACTATAAACACTATTATTAAGCAGCAGTGTTTCAAAAACATCGTTATGTTCAGACTTTACTGAGTTGCATTTGGGTAAAACCTACATGGATTTTGTAAAGTGGACAGAATAGGAGAGACTACAACAATAATATTTTCCATTAACTAAAAGTAATGCTCTTGAAAGTGCTAATGTGTTACAAAAAAAAATATTGATGTGTTTATTATTTAAGTTGATTTCTAATGATAATTTTACTGTTATGATTTATTCTGATGATTTAATCATCTAAACTGATCCGTGATGAAAACACACCTGTGTGTAACCATGTATTCTTATGTTGGTGGGAACAAAAATTTGGAAGTCAGCCATACTTGTTGGGACCAACAGCCCTTATGAGGACCAAAATCCCGGTCCCCACAAGTTTGAAGGCATTTTTGAGACTCAGAATGTGATTTTAGTGACAGGGTTAGACAGGTAAGACGAGTAAATCTAAAAACCACAAATAAAAATAGTCACCCCACATCCACTAAAAATAGCTTTCAGGAGCGCAAACAGAGCCGAGAGGCGAACACATTCAGAAAAACAATGAAACAGGGTCTCCCTCTGCACACCGAATGGACATTTGTCTTCCACAGCAGCGTTAATAACAGAAACAAAAGAATTTACAGCAACAATGCCATGAACAATTCTCCACTGTAAGTCTGCATGCCTTTTCGTGAGGGGAGGTTTGTAAAGGGATCTCCATGCTGGTTTGATGTCAGGTGCTAAGGAGAGATGGGTCCTCCTCACCGTGTCATTGTGTGCATTCAACTTGCCTTGATTGAGAGTTTTTACCAGCAGCCTATACAAAGTTTTCCAGAGGCCCCTTCCAGGGACACCCCCGCAACATCCACATTATCCAGTAAAGGACCAACGCAGTTCTTAAAACCAGGAAACAGTCTGATGGAAAGATAAAGCTCTAAATGATTTGGAAACAGAGTGCCGTCACAATAACTTGCCAAAAGTGAACACTCAACTCCACCTAATTTGTGTTTCCAATTATCGAAAAGCTGACCAACAACTCAAGTAGACCTTATCCTAAGCTGTCCATCCGAATTATCCAGCCAGCTCTACCACCCTCTTCAGAGAAAAGACTTGTGCAGCATGGAGCCGTCTGGATAAAGTAGTCCTACCCCAGACAGGGCAATCCAGCAAGCTGCCAAACAGTAAAGGTTCTTCCAGCAACCAGTACAAAGATTCTGCCTGCTGTTGCATCCCTTTCCTTAGCAGAGCCCATACAGAAAAACACTCCTGTAAAAAGGTGGAAGAAGTGAAGCGTTCAGCTTGCTTGAGTCCATCAGCAACAGAGATAAATCCAAACCCATATGTGAAGAATACAGCACGATACCCTCCTCCATACTAGATCTGGGGGTCATGTAAGCAGCCTCTGAATAAACTGAAAGCGAAAAGCAGCCCCTCTACTGACCAAATGGACCAGACCTTGTCCACCTCCCTCTCTAGGGAGAAAAAGGACACTTTGAGGAATCCAGTGCAACTTATCCCAAAAAAAGTCCACCAGGATCCTTTGAATGTTAGACAAGAGGGTAACTGGGGGATCAACACAAGTCAACCGGTGCCACAGAGCAGAAGAAACCAGATTATTGATAACAAGAACTCGACCTCTGTATGACATGCAGTAAAAAACGAAAAAAAAAAATATTATACTGCAAATTTGCAAATAAAACAGCATATGCATCAAAATAAACTATTTCCAGCAGTGCAATTTGAGTTCTAAGCATCCCAGAAACGACACAGAAAAGCATAAAGTCAAACATGACTTTAAAAAACACCAGTATTGGCTTATAAGGCCCTGAAGGTAAAAAAAACCCAAAAAAACCCCAAAAAACAAAATGGCGTCAATTCCGGTTTCGGGCAGGTAATAGCGGACATGAGCTAGTTCGCGCTGACGTCTATTCCAACGTAGGAAGTGTTATGAACAGCTGATCAGATCGGCAAAGCGTGTTTCTGGAATATTATGTTTTTGTTGCTACAAGTGCTTTTTATGCAGTTTTTGCAAAGCTATATGTGGAAGGAAACCGTGACCTAGGACAAGCTGATGGCATAAGATGTAAGTACAACTCCTCTGGTTTCATATGCAAAAAAATTATTGCGCTAGCTTATGTGGTTGCATTTCTACAGGGATTTAAAAAATAGTTACGCAAAACGCAGCGTGCCCGCTCTGACCGGTCTTAAAGGGTTAACTTGTGTTCTTAAGAATTATCTTCTTGATAACACACATCCATACTTTGTAAGTTATCCCATTTCTTTTTGGCCTGCAAGGGGGTGACTTTCCCCTCTAGGCCCATCTTCTCCAGAATTGTCCTGATCACACACAATAAATAAGAGAAGAGAGGAAACCATGGCAACTATGTTAATCCCTAAATCCACAAGTTTTCACTGCAGAACACCCGAGGAATACCGTCTGGACATCACAGGTTCTGTACAGCATGAGGGTTAATAAAACCATACTCATGTTAATATGATGTGTAAATTATTTATTCTTGTACCTCCATGCCAGAGTGGCCAAATTCATTACCCCAGGGAAGAGGTGATCATTATCTCCTCATTTTAATAAATTGAGCCGTTCTTTGTTCTCCACAACAATATCACAAAAAGGTTAATTCGCAAAAATCAAAATTGGCTGTATGTAACCAGCAATACATCAAAGTTTGGTGCAAGGGGCACCGAAGAAACTATTTGCAAAAGATGTATACAGTGAATATTAAAATGTTTAAAAACTAAGCTGATATACCTGACATAATTTTGAGTTCTATTTATGTGGATATAGTACATGTGTAGCATTCATTTGATTTTGACTCAAATACATTTACATTTTTAATGGTAAATACCAAAAAAAAGTTTTTTTTATAAGAAACAGTTTATTTAAAAATATTCAGGAACATTGTACATGTACTGTTTTGTATTTAAGTGGTTGCAACCTGTTACTGTAGTGCACAAAACAAAGTCATGAAACATGTCACCAATATAAAGGCAGTAGAATTTGAATTATAGATAAAATACATTTTATGAAAGTTTGACCATATTTGACCCTAAAGAAGAGGTCAGATGTCCAGAGTAACCTGATATTTACAATCCCCATGTATCATTCGCTACATGCTGTCAGTACCAACAATGACATAGTTTTAAATAAATGGCTCTATATAACATTATCATTACTCTGACTTTCAGGTTGATCTGTTGAACTCAGAGGTCAAACGTGACATGATATTTAAAATCTTTAAACTTTATAAATGTTGTTACACAGTGCACTTGTACAAGTGTACAAGTTTTAAGACTTTTTGTCAATTTTCCACCAACAAGTCATAAAGTTGACCTTGGTGAACACAAACCAGATTTCAATGGGTTGTTATAACATCATCCTGCTCTACACCCTACAGAGTTTTTAGAGCTGTTGTGTTTACAGACAGAACGTAATGCAAACACTACCAAAAACATGAGCTCCTTGTTGAAGGTAATAAGAAACTGCTGAGCTATCTACACATGCTCTGTAGTGATCTGATGCAATATGCAATCAAGGTCAACCGTCCCTGTGTTCGTCATGCTCAGTGTTTATCTGATAAACACCAAGGAATGTGCAGCAGTGAACGTTAGAAACTGATCAGACTTGAGTGTCTGGTTTGCAGTGACTCGTTAATCATTGTCTCAGTTCCGGTTTCCTGCTCAGCTACAACGATTCATTTCACTTTAACAGCAACAGTTTGGATCACTGTGTCTTTATCTGTGGTAAGTCTTTTTTTATTTATTTGTTTGGTTCTTTGTTGTTTTATTGTTTTGTTTTTTGATTCAGAGAACAAACAAACAAGAACCTTATAAAAAAAACACTGAAATGTGTGGTTAAAGAAAAAAAATGTGATTTTTTTTTGTTGTTTTGCTGTCAAACCGTGAGCACATACAAGATGATAAATGTTTCTGTCAGTTGTTAAAAGCTCCCACAAAGCTCCAAATGTAGCAGCAAAGTGTGAGAAAAGCTGTGTTTATGTTTATAAAGAACTGTTCTTGGAATCGTGCAGAGACCTGCACTCAAAGCAGGACTTTGTCTCATCAAGGTGACTTAAAAGAAACTCTGAGCTTTCAGTTTTAGTTATGTACCTACATTACACTGCTATGGAGCAGGTTAATTTCAAAATAAAAGGTCATAGTCTAAGCTTATCTATGTTCCTGGTGAATGTTTGATGGGTCAACTCCAGCCTTGGCTGAGCCTTTGTGCTTTTCTTTAATGTATTTGCCAAATAGAGATAAAACACAGAGCTGACTGCAGCAGCAGGTTTCTCAGATTTTCTTTCAGGCTGGTGCTGATTGCTCTGCTGTGTACAGAGTGGGCGGAGTCAACTCACATGAATTGTTTCGGTTTCTCCTCTGAAAATGACTGCTTGATACAAACTCTTGAGAACAAAAGTCAGTTTACTCCTCAGAAAAAATCCTGAAAGTTTGGAGGTGTTTTGTTGATTTTAAGCTTTAGACTCATCAGGTTTGTTCTGCACTCTGTCAATCATAGCTAGAGGTCCCTTTTCTGCTTTCAAAGGAAAATATAGTAGGGGCTCGATGGGTGAGAGCACTAGCACAAAGACTCACAGTTCATGCTGAAAAAAAAACCAAAAACAAAACCGGTTACCCTGATGATGACATATCACCCGCAATCAGTTGTGGGAGTGTGACAGTCAGGCATTAGTACAATGTAAGCAATGTTACTCTAGTCAGTGAAACACAGGAGTGTTTGGCTGCGTTATAGCTTGCAACATGGATTTTTGCCAGAAATCTTCTTTTTTAAAATCTAGAGTCTTTAAGTCTTTTACTCATCCATACTCTGCTTATGCATTTTGCACCATTTCGATACCTTTGTGTACAAAAATCTACCCTCTCAAAATCTGCCAGAAAAACCTCAACCAACAATATTTCTTCTGCTTTTTTTCATATATCACTTGTATTAAAGTATTCACAAGTATTAAATTATCTTCTGGATTTTAAGACTTTAAATTCCACTTTAAATGTTTGAATCATTTACTATTTATTGAAAAAACTCACAAAAAATAAATTTCCATGTAATAAATTGGATGAGGATGGGACATTGGGGGTGATTAGATTATTGGACATGTCAAAGAACAGACACAAAATGGATAGTATTGCATTATTGTTTTTTGTGTAGTGCCTCTCGATACAAAAATGCCCCATTCACTTCTACTGAAACCACATTTATTTAAATCTCTCTGCCGTTGTAGTATAACACCATGCGTCCTGTAATGTCAGGATTTCCCTAGCACCTGTAAGAATAATCTCTGTCTGTATGTTCTTTGCTGATTCCAAGAAGGATCCATAACAGTGAACAGTACTAAATTATTGAAGGCAGACTCATCGATGCAATTGAAGAAGAGGACAAGAGAAAAAACAAGAAAAACATAAAAGTCCTTCCTCACCACTCACAATATTTAATATAATTTATTTTTTAAATAAATGCATGATCATTTGTGTTTATAATCCTGATATACAGTTAGCTCCCGGTTTTTGGTGCTCAGAAGGAGGACATGTAACTCACTGCCATGGTGGTGGCTGTGAATGCAAACAGAGATGAGAAGACAGCTCTCGCATTTGTCAGCTTCAGCGTTGGAGGGAAGCTCCGGCTTGTTTGCCTTGATATTCCCTACCAGTATTATCCATGCTCTGCTGATACAGAGTATGGATGATACTGGGCAAGGGAGTAGGTTATGAAAAAATTATAACAAGTAAGTTTGACAACCTGGAGCCTCCTTGTGTTGATAAGGACAATTGA